TGCATATTGTAAAACCTTCAGTTCTTACAAAGGGTGTGTCCTAAGTTCCCACCCATCCTCATCCTTACGCTCAGTTGCTCTCCCCAGGCACCTCCACTGCCAGTTGGATAGTTGATTTGACAGAACTCCATGCATGTATGTGAAATGTTTCTCCCTTACCATATGGAGTGTATAGAGTCATTCTATATCAAAACTTACAGGCTGACCCTGTTCTTTTTTTGGCGGTACGCGGGCCTTTCACTGTTGTGGCCTCTCCCATTGCGGAGCACAGGTTCCGGACACGCAGGCTCAGCGGCCATGGCTCACGCACGGGCCCAGCTGCTCCGCAGCATGTGGGATCTTCCCGGACCGGGGCACGAACCTGCGTCCCCTGCATCGACAGGCGGACTCTCAACCACTGCACCACCAGGGAAGCCCTGACCCTGTTCTTTTTTAACAGCTATATGGTGTCCTACCCAGTGAATATTCCATAGGTTATTAAACAGTCATCCACTGATGGGCATTTGAGTAATTTCTCCTCTTTTTCTGTTTTTTTGTGCTGCTTTGAGATGAGCCTCTTGTCCAAAATACAAGTTATTTAAAATGTGGTGATAAGATCTCCATTTCTATTTCTCTGGCCATTTTTACAGTTTCAACAGTGATTTATCTATCTTGGTTTTTGCCTCCGGCTTTTACCTCTTGTCATCTCCAAGTCTTCAATCAATACTTTAATTGTGAGGGTCACAACAAGGTGACCCTTTGCCTCTCTTAAGTTTCTGAAGTAACTCTAATCTTGAAGTATAGTCTACCACCATAAACCCATTTTTCTTAGTAAAAATGGTGGTAAAATATTGTAGCTGTATTGTTTTGCTGTACATATATGCTGTATTCATTAATTTCAACAAAACTGTAAATCTTGGGAATTCCCTGGTGGACCAGCGGTTAGGATTCCACGCTTTCCCTGCCAAGGGTGCAGGTTCAATCCCTGGCTGAGGAACTAAGATCACACAAGCCACGCAGTGCAGCCAAGGAACAACAACAACAGCAACAACAACTGCAAATCTACAAATAATCTGGAAGTGTGGGAACACTTCTTGTAAGGGACGCTAAGATACTTGTAAGGGACAGTAAGACATCTGCTGATGTTCGGATGGTTTTATACATGAATGTGTATGCTGTGTCAGTGTTGTTATTTCAAAATAATGTCAACAGAACCCTTTCTGTGGGTAAAGGCTAATGTGAAGTAGCATCACTTCCGGTCCACTTCCTTGGAAGTGCCAGGGCTGGACGAGGCATGATGGGGATGAGACACCACAGAGTCCCCAGGTCCTCCTCTGTGTGTATATGAGGATGGGGGTGGGCTGGAGACAGGCCTGCCATCCACGGGCACCATGACCACCCAGCACTCACTCCGGGTGCCATGGTGGCATGGCAACCTCACCAGCTCTCAGAGCGGGAGAGGAGGCTTGTTTCAGTTACTTCACGGGAAGGTCAGCAACAACAGCTCTCCAGAGGAGGGGCAGGAAGGGGGTGGGCTGAGAGCGACAGCTGGCCCTGCATGGTGGCCTTGTGTGCCAGGGCCTTGCCACTTCCCAGCCTGTGTTCAGACTTTCTCCACATGCTTCCCAAAGGCCAGCTCTTGACCTGACCTGTGTCACGTAAAGAAACCATTGTATTTGCCATGCAAATATTAGGTATTTTTACTACCCTAAAAAGAGCAGGAAGGCAAAAACACTACGTAGAACTGGGGGTGGTAAGTTTCTTTTCCTCCCTGCTGAGCAGGATGGCCCCACTCCCATCTATATGGAATTGCTGGCAGGGGCCCAGGCCGCTATAAATAAGCATCCAAATTGCTCCAGGAAGGCTGGACTTCCTCATTTTTTTTAAAGTGGAATTTGTAACAGCTTCTGCCCAGAACATTTGTGTCCAATGTCCTTTCATCTCCCAGGCATCCTGTACAACTGCCATGCGGAGATTTTGGAATGCTTCCCACTGCAGCTGGGTCAGAGGACAAGGCATGCTGGCCCAGCCAGCTAAAATAAAGAAGTAATTATCTTCCTTCTGTGACCTCTGTCTTGCGATATGAGTCTTAATAGGATCCCTTCTGAGGAACAAGCAGGAAGCTCCTTTCTGCTTCTGCCAGAAGGCACATCTGTTAGAAATGGAGTAGGTTCATTAGAAGCATGGGAATCCCAGGACACAGGGGCCAGATGGGCCCCAGGAATACATCTTTTATGCTACTTGATTCTCAGACCCCGATGGGCCTTTCCTTCCCTCAGGTTGACTAGCAGCACAGGGTTACAATAGGAGTGACAGATAGTAAAACATGTGAAGCTACAACAAATCTGTGATGCCTTCACAAGAACCAAGCCAGAGGGCAACAGAACAAAATGGACCAGTGCTATTCAGAGTGGTCCGTAGACCTGAGGCTGGTCTAGGAACTGTCTCTAGGCCAAGATAAGGAGCTTAGTAGGTACATCACCTGTGTCACTAAGCACATATTCGTGTAAGACTGACCATTTTTTTGGTAGCAAGAATTTCTCAATGAAGGAAGCAGTGTGTTAATTCATATTCTGGCCCGTTCTTCAGCTCATCACAGACAGGCATTTTGAGTATCTTTGTAGTGAATAGTTCTGAAACCATCCCTAATATAATATATTGTAAAAGAAAAATCACAAACCAATAGGGAAGAGAAGGTTTATTCAACAGATTGGATTTGGAGAATTGACCAAGTTTTTTTTTGTTGTTTGTTTGGTTTTTTTGCGGTACGCGGGCCTCTCACTGCTGTGGCCTCCCCCGTCGCGGAGCACAGGCTCCGGACGTGCAGGCTCATGGGCCCATGGCTCACGGGCCCAGCCGCTCCGCGGCATGTGGGATCTTCCCGGACCAGGGCACGAACCCGTGTCCCCTGCATCGGCAGGCAGACTCTCAACCACTGCGCCACCAGGGAAGCCCTGACCAAGTTCTTTTTAAGAATGTTTTTTCACATTATATGCAAAATAAATTATGGATAAATGGGCAAGAAAATGAAACCTAAAATAAAAAACAGAAGAAAAATCTTGAACTGATGTTATAGCATGGAAAACTTTTTAAATATCTTTTCTAATTACAAAAGTAATGAGTATTCCTTGTAGAAAATCTATCATTTTTTTTGAAATTTATGTTTATTCTTATAGTCCTAGTTATTCCATTTCACTCTGTATAATATTCTGTTGAATAAATAGCTCACAATTTATTTATCTAGTCCCCTACTAATGGACATATGGGCTGTTTGAAGTTTTAATTATTTTTACTATTAAAAAAACGTCAACAATGCTTCAGTGAATGCTCTGGTAGCTGTCTTCTTCCTAATACTACTAAAGGCCTAGACAGAGGCAGTACATGAGAATTCCATTGTTTCACTTCCTCACCAGCATTGGTGTTGTTTCAATGGTGGTTTTTCATCATCGTCAATAAATTTGTTTTTAATAGAAAGATCACCTATACTTCTGCCTCCCAGGGTTAATGCTTGCTGCTTTTCTGATGTATTTCCTTCTAAATTTTTATCTGTTTATTTAAATATTTACTAAAACTGTGGCCATACTGTATATACTATTGTGTGTCATCCTTTTCCATGAAATTGATTATTAGTTTAAAATGTAGGAAAAAAGAGAATCCAAAACTATATCTACAGCATGATCCTGGTGGTAGTTTGGTTTCATTTTGTGGAGTTGGTTTGTACATACAAGTATTCATTAAATACATTACATTAGTATCTTTCAAAATAAAAAGTAAAAAAGATGCTATCCATGTAAACATGATTTTCTTCTTTGTTTTTAGACTTTTTACAAATTTTCTGCAAGGAGCATGCATTACTTTTGTCATCAAAGAACATAAAATAAAACATTGTCATTCACAGCCCAGTGTTCGGGACTGGCATTGGTGGGATTCATTCCCTCTGTCCCAGACTTGGCCTCAGACCATCCCCTGAGCTATGGGCCCGTCCCTCAAATGCATCTGCTGGTCTCAAGGCTAGTAATAAGGGGGAGGTATGTAAGGGCCACCCCACCTCCACCAGCCCTGGAAAAGCCATTCACAGCGTAAGGGCTGTGCATCTACCATAGCACCGCCCCCAGCGTGGGCACACGGGCCACATGCACTTGCCCGCTTGTCCAGGGCTTGCCTCTGGGAGGACCAGGAGGCAGCGGGGATACCACACAACAATTGCCCAGGGATCTGTTTTCTGCTCTGTGTATTTCCTGCCCATTTGGGGGCATCTTTTGTAGTCATGAGATCAACAGAGGCTTGGAAATCCAACTTTCCCTGCTAGGAAGCCCCTGGTTGAAGTCCCAAAGCACTGACAGTTGGCCCTGAGCAGCTCTGGATGGTGAGCCTCCTCTGCTTTGGGAGCTGCAGCGTGAAGCACTCTGGGAAGAGAGACTGGAGAGGGTTTCATTCCTCCCTGCTTCCTCGGGTTTGACCCACCCTGAGCCAAGGACAGCTCTTTCCAATTTGGTAATGGCGGGAGCCCCTCCCGAGAAGAAGTTTAGCGGAAAGGTTGAGCGCCCTCAGAGTAGGTCCAGGAGGAGCGCCCGCTGTTCTCAGCATGTTGGCTCTGGTGATTATGAGTAAAAGTACTCTCAGGCCACAAGTATTCATGGGCCAGAAAGGAAGCAAATGCAGCTCATTACTTTGGGATCCACTCTCAGGAGCACAAAGGATTCCTTCACCAGCAGGACTGCAGAGAGACCGAGTAAAAGCAGCAGCCTTGCTTTTGCAAATGCACTTGAGAACAGTGTGTCCATCCATCGTTATGGCTCTGGATGTTGTTTGAAAAAAAAGAAAAAGAAAGCTACCTATAAACTGGGATGATGAGCCAGGCTGAAGGAAGTAGGGGGCACCTGGTAGGCTGTGGAAAGCCATGGTGTGGCCTCCTGGGGCCTCAGACGGCTCCAAGCCAGGCTGTGTCAGGGCAAACGCTTTATTAGTGCTCCCAAGGGCCTCGTACGTGCTCAGTGACTCTCTGTGCCTTGGCGTTGCAGGCCTGGCGCTGGTGCCAAGGAAGCTGTGTACTCACTACGCCTGGGACACCAGTGTGCTGCTTCAAGCCTGGCCAGCTGTGGACCCGCAGTTCCTCCAGCAGCCCGATGTCGTACAGATGGCGGTTCTGGTGAGTGTCTCCTGCAGCCCCCAGGGCCAAGGCGAACCGGCCACACACACACGGATGGGTTTGGAAGTTTCTTGCCAGGCCTTTCTAGCCCACTCAGCTCTCCGCCCAACCCTCCAGCCTGTCTTCCTTTGCCAGCACCTTCAGTTTTGAAGTTACCACATGCCAAAAGCTTGTGAGCATAAAACTTGTGGCCAGAAAGTGGAAAGTATCAACCTGTCCTGCATTATAGGTTCTAATTGTCTTCCTTTCCAACTGTGTTTCAATCTCTCTAAGTTTCATTCAGCTGCTCTGGGCTCTTGGAGGGGGTAGGGTGATGGCGAGGAGGTGGGCAAGGAACACCTCGCACTGCAAAATATATTTCAGAAAGGCTACATGAAATTTATTTTTTGGTAAATTGCATCATTTTAAATACATAAAAGTAGTTGATTATAGAGCAAATAACTCTCCTGTAGTTTATCCTTATGTAATTTTTATGTATTTAATTTGTTTAATCTGAGACCCATTATGAGGAATGTCTCCTAAATATGCTGATGTGGCTGAAGAGGGAAAGAAAACAAGGGGTGAACCTTTTAGTCTGAACCACACGTGGGCCAGCTAACTTACATCCCAAGTTTAATTTAACTCTCACCACCCTAAAAGATAGGCATAGCTGTTCCCATTTTTTTCGGCTGAGGACACAGGCTCAGAGAAGCTCGTCACCTTGCCCACGTTTATTTGTTTATTCCTCAGTCATTATCAAGTTACCTATGCTATCAATACATCAGGCACAGTGCTAGGCTCTGGGGACACAAACTGAAATGCAAAAAACAGGGTCCCTGCCCTCATGGAGCTTAAAGCCTGGTGGGAAAGATAGGGGAAAAGAAGAAGGAAAGAGAAAAATAAACAAAATAATTGCAAACTGTGGAAAGTACCACAAAGTAATCACCCAGGGGCTGAACAGGAGCCGGGCCTGTGAGGCCCCACCTGCTTCGTCTGCAAACCCTGGGCCCTGCGGGCAGATCCATGTTGGGAAAGCCAGTTGCCCCCAGGAGACTGGCTCCTTCACAGATCCTCTGTCTCCATACCACCTCCCCGACACTTAGTTCCTCACTGCCTCCGATTTGCCCCCCCTCCATGGAGGGGAGGAGGCGGGCTGCCCTGCTAGGCTTCTTCCCAAAATCCTCAAAACCGAAACCAGCCTGTGGCACAGAGAGACGATTTCTTTAACTTGAATAATGTTTCTAAGAAATAACTATCTGTGTACCCCTAAGAACTCATCCTCAGCGCAACTGAGAAATACCAACCTGAGACACTGAAGTTTTAATCTGTGAAAATGTCTTTCCATTTTAAATTACCACTGAAGAAAAGAAATTTAGTTTTGATAATTGGTAAAATAATTTCAGATTATCATTGAAATAAAAATCCAAGATTTAAAATGTGTGGAGGACTCCCTGCAAGTACACCCAACTCAAGAACCTCTGGGTTGGGGCACTGTGCCATGTGGCAGGACTTCTGTCAAGGTCTGTGTTCTGTCTCCACGTGATCTCACTTGGTGTCATGGCCAGAAATAGAAGTTGCAACACAGAACAGTATAACTCGGTGTAATTCAGTTCAGCCGTGCCCGTGTGCTCTGAGCCCAGAGGCACTACATCGTCTTCGTGGAGCCCAGCACCCAGGAGGGACAGTCTGGGGAGGTACACGCATTGTCATGCACACCGAGAGTTTGTGTAGCCTCCAGGTTAAGATGTAAGAGCTTGGGAGTTGGACCATCTCAGTTTTGCAAAATACTTAATTTCTCTAAGCCTCAGTTTCCTCAGTTAGAAAACACAGGGCCTGCCTTACCTGGTTGTTGAAAGAATTAGATGGGATAATGCCAGGAGGTACTTAGCCTGCTTCTGGACACACTAATAACAAAAGCCACTAACAAGCAGTGAGTACCGACTAAGAGGCAGGGACTGCCCTTAGGACTTTCCAGATACTAACTCATTAACCCTACACAACAGCCCTGTGAAACAGACCCCGCTGTTTTCCCCATTTCACAGATGAGGCAGATACGTGCCTAACCCCATCTTACAAGTGAGGAAACAGTGGCAGAACAGGGCTTAATAACTCACTCAGTAAATATTAAATGCTGCTAGCATCAGCATCGTTGCCTCTGGCAGTTGGGGGATTGGAGGAGGCATCCGAGGAAGGGGATGTGGACCTTGGCTTTGAAAGAGGAGCAGCATTTCCCTAGTGGAGAAAGGAGCAAAGGCGGGGGAAGTCCTCACTGGACCGTGAGCCATGGAGGGGGTGGAACAGAGGCAGAGGCAGGGCAGCACTGGAGAGAAGGCCAGACTCCACCCCGAGACGTTGGGGGCTGGCAGGGAAGAGAGAGGGTCCATGGGGTCATCCCGTCTCCACCACTTGCTGGAAAGGAGCCTTGGGTAAGTGGCTTCACCTCCTATCCCCTTAGCTTTGCCCTCCGTGAATCGGGGATGGAACGGCTGTGACCTACCTCACAGGCTTGTGGTGGGGATAAACAGGTTCACTCAGGTGGATTGTGGAGCACAGTGCCTGGCACAGAGTGAGAACTCAGACAACGTGAGCTTTTATTGTCATTAGCCATTGCAGGGCTCCTGTCAGTGAGTAGTGGTGGATGGGGCGGGTGGATAGTGCTCATGGCCAGGGGCCCTCCAGGCAGCTGTTGGAAAAGTCCAAGAGAATAATGCAGAGGCCTGGACCAAGGCTGAGCGATGAAGTGGAGGTGGCAAAGCTGGAGGGGCGGAAGCTTGCAAGGCCCCCAAATGGGGACTGGGAGACCTTTCTAAAGTCAAGCAGCCGCTGTTTGAGGTGATGTCTTGTCTCCCACCCAGTGATCTAGGCTAATGCAGCCCATAAAAATGCCACTAAATTCTACAGAAATCTGAAAAGATGAGGTGGGTGATTAAGGGATCCTGGATAATGTGCTTGGGTTGAAACTTCAGAAGTTATTCCTGGTAATTTTTCATAACACAGTGACTTTATTTTCCAAGTTAAAAACAGGAGCATTCGTGAAAAAAACGTAAACGTTCTTACAGGAGTGATGGGATGGAGGAATTGAAGCACGGCTGTTCAGAAGCTATTTGGGTCATGTGTCGCTTTCCTCGGTGGCAGTATCAGTTCATATTTGATGTGAAGTTTACCCTTATGAAACTAATATTTAGTGAATACCACTACGGCTAGAACTATACTGGCCCATTTTAGGCAAGAGTTGTGTGTGATGTGGGTCCAGCTTCCAGGTGGTCAAACTTGAGCGCCCCCTTCTGGAGCCAGTCATCAGGGAGGGAGGTTGCCTACACGCCCCAGAAATTAGTCCACGTGAGATCTAGGTAAATCCTCGGTGACACCCCCTGTAGCCAGATCTAAACTTGATTTGAGCTTCAGTAACACAATAATCCCTCTACCCCCGGATACAGCCTAAGCCATCTCATGCTGAGGATTTTTGACATAGTTTCCACCACAGCTGTGACGGGGCAGCACTCAGGAAATACAGGGTGGCGCCCTCTCCCTCTCCTTATCCAAAGCGTTCAGCCGTTAATCCTACCCATCTACGTGCGCTTTGTTCTTCTGGGAAGCTAGGTGCTGCCTCTTCTTTCTCTTTTCCGGTACTCCTTCCCCACACAGAGGCAGCAGTACCCTTGAGGGGCAGTGGGTATTGATGTCTGGCTGCCTGCCACTCTCAGGACTTTCCTCATTGTTTGTCTTGGCTTTTCACCTTCTCAGATCAACAACAAAGCCTGCGGCAAAATCCCTGTGCCCCAACAAGTTGCCCAGGACCAGGACAAAGTCCACGAACTGGTTCTCCAAAGTGAACTGGGTGTCAGGCTCTTACAGGGGCGAAGCATCAAGAAGGCCTTCCTCTCCCCCCGAACTGCCCTCATCAACTTCCTGATACAGGAGTGACTGCAGGGATGCTGCGGCTACCACGAGGGCTTGAGGCACCTCCTCCAGGTCTGGGATGAAGGAAGGAGTCTGGGGCCCAGGGGCAGGAAAAAGCCAAATGTCTTTTTTTATATATATACATAAATTTTATTTATTTATTTATTTATTTATTTATTTATTTATGGCTGTGTTGGGCCTTCGTTGCAGTATGCGGGCTTCTCTTTGTCGTGGCTTCTCTTGTTGTGGAGCGCGGGCTCTAGACGTGCAGGTTTCAGTAGTTGTGGCATGCGGGCTCAGTAGTTGTGGCTCACGGGCTCTAGAGCGCAGGCTCAGTAGTTGTGGCACACGGGCTTAGTTGCTCCGCGGCATGTGGGAATCTTCCTGGACCAGGGCTCAAACCCGTGTCCCCTGCATTGGCAGGCGGATTCTTAACCACTGCGCCACCAAGCCCCAAGCCCAATGTCTTGAATGTCTGCCTTTGCACTCTGACGGGCTGGCATCAACAGGGTGCCTCTGAGGTGTGGCCTGGTGCAGGGGTGAAGGTGGGTGGAGGCAGAGGAGAAATATGAGTGAAGCGGGGTGGGGACCCAGTACCTTCCTCCACCATTGCAGGGTGGAGGAAGCATCTAGCCCCATAGGAAGCCACCAGAGATTCAGCTGGGTGGGAGCGAGAAGGTGAATTGAAAAGCAAGTGAGGATGAGCACGAAGCCTCTCGAGTAGCCTGGGAGCTTCTGGACCCCAGAAATTGCACTGCCTTAGGCAGGTGTTAGGAACATAAGGCTAAGCTTAGGAGGCACAGGGGCTGAGGAGCAGCGTGGGCAGTCACTGTTGAACAGGTGACAGAGCCTCAGCATCGTGGTGGATTGTCTCCCGCCTTCAGGCTAGATGGAGAAGCCATTTGGGTCATGTCCAAATATCCATATGCGGAGTGGACACTGAGGTCGTCAGAAGTTGCTCGGGTGAATTCCCTGGCGGCCCAGCAGTTAGGGCTCGGCGCTTTCACTGCCGTGGGCCCGGGTTCGATCCCTGGTCAGAGAACTAAGATCTTGTGGGCTGGCGCAGCCAAAAAAAAAGAAGAAGAAGTTGCTCGGAATCAAAAGGCAAGCAGGGCTAGTCTGGCTGCCAGCACTCCCACCACTTCTCAGCCCTGCCGTGCAGGCTGTTTCCACCCCAGCCCAGCTGGACTTGCCTGCCAGGCCTTCTCTGATCCTGGTACTCAGGCTCTTGGACGAAGTACCACTTCCCACTGTGAATGGTGAGCAGCGCTTCCTAACCACTCTCTCAGGGTGTAAAATTTGCTGTGAAGTGAAGCGGAACGGAGCTGGTTCCAGCCTCAGATGGAACCAATCTCGGAGCCCGCTGCAGCTCAACAGGGAGTCTGCTCATGTGCGCCGCAGATGGTGATGCCGCCATGGATGTGGCCCGCAGAGCCAGTCATTAGGAAGAGCAAGTCCACCGCAGGGGGTGGGACTGATGCCACCCAGGCATCTCCTCCTGTGCTTGAGCCACTGCAGTTGGCTGCCAGGGAGACCCTGTGTCATTGTATATTAGGGTGATCCTGGGTTTCTGTGAAGTCAGCTATCAGGTGCTCTTACCAGAACTGGCCTAAGCCACTGATTACTATTTAATAGGGGGAGGAGGAGGAGAATCTAGGGAGGAGGAGAATCTAGCCATTCTGTGACACTGAAAATCTGTATTCATTCTCTGATGTCTTTTTCTGAAGTAGCCTCAGATGTGGTCCCCTGCACTTCAGCAGTTAACAGATGACTTTTTTTAATGGAATAAAATGTTTGTCATGTATGACTTTGGGACATATGTGTGATCCTGGAATAGCCACCATATTCCAATTCTGGGAGTTAATCAGGAACAGATTGAGGTATTCCATCGTCATCTGAAGCACTGGCTATGTGCCTGACTCCACGTGGACTGTTATAAAGTGGGATGCATGGGGAACTTACAGAACATGGTAGACCATACTGACTCAGGAACGTTAGTAACAGCAACTAAGTCACTTGGCTCAAACTTAATATTCTGCCTGATCCCCATGCCCAGAAATCCTGGTTTAATTGATCTGAAGTGCACTTGGGCATCTGGGAATCTTAAAAGCTCCACAGGTGATTCTAATGGACAGCTAAGTTTGAAAACCACCTATTAATTGATGCATTTGAACCATATGTCTAACTAGTCCTTTCTCTCCCTAACCTTCAGCTTAACTGGGATGAATTTGGTAACGACCAAAACACAATGAAGTAGAGCTGGGAAAGACTAGGACCAGAAGGGAAGGCAGGGGCCGGAACTCTGGAGCAAATGTTTAAGACGTTCCTAGAGCTGACTTGAGCGCACACAATCCAATTCCATGTACCAGCAAATGTGGATTAAATATAAGTGAACGGATGAGGATATTTGGTACAAGGAGGCGAGTGAGTGTTTTTGCTTGATTGTCTTGTTTATTCCAGAAGTAATGTAAGTGGTCTTGAGTCTGTCAACAAGATGAGTGTAGGGAGCCCTTTGCACATAATCTGGCCAGAGCAATGGGCGAGTCCAGCCTCAAGGCCACTGGACTAACCAGCACGTCTTTGGAGACCTTTTTCTCCAAGAGGATAAAACTTTTAAAAACAAGAGCTCATTGGTACTACTGAGATGGTTGGTGTAATGGAAAAATTGAACAGAAAAATCTGATCCCTGGGGTGGGAAATGATCTCAGTCCTTTATTAACTGCCTTGATTAGGTCAAAAACTGGACTCAACAAGTTCACTTGCATTATGTCATTTAATTTCCACTAAAACCCTAGAGGGAAGGAATTATTCTCTCATAAATATGAAGATACCCAGGTTCTGAGGTTCAGTAATTTGCTCAGTTTCCACAGCTAAGTAGAAGAACCGAATCCAAACCCAGGTCCTCTGGCCTCCAAATCCCCTTATGCCATCCACTGTACCTACCAGTCCCCTCACCTAATTGCCCATCTTGCTTGAAGTCAGGAAAATTGAGATGTTGGCTGGAAGCTTGGGGCTTACTAGGGAAGCCTCGCAACTGAATGGAGTGGCCATTATTCTTGTTGCCTTTGCTGCCTTGGCTTGGGGTTTACTGATTGATGGCCTGAGGCTGCTGGGGGCAGATGGCCCAGGGGTGTGAGCTAGAGGTTTGTGGCCACATAAAGAAGTCCACCAGAAATCCTTGCAAGCCACTCATGGCCCACAGGCTTCTTGGCAGGCCGATGCTCAGACAAGATGGCCTCCAAACCAAAAGCTGAGGATCCGAAGTTGGCTTTGGTTTTCATTTCCAGGTGGTTTGATTCCTGAACTGAGCCCAAGTCAGGGTTATGAGGCCACTAGTGCACACGGACATGCAGCAACATGCAACTGGGCTGATGACATTTCTGCTGGGCCACAGTTGGCCATTACTCGGGTCAAAGAGGGCATGGTTCCTGCACCAGCTGCCCTGGCCTCCACCACCAGCTGCCCTCTTGGTGTTTCTCAGCCTAGGAGGAAAGGGAAGGAGGCAGACAAGTCTACAGGGTCATTCTGTGCAGCAGGAACCGTGCAAGGGGTTTTGCTGGTGCTCTTAAATCCTCACATCAGTGCTACAAAGTGGGAATTATGACCCACATCCTATAAAGAAGGAAACTGAAGCCTAGAAAAGTATAGCAGATTACCTACATCATGCCACTGATAGCTGCTCAAGCCAGGATTCAGCCCCAGTTCTGCCTTCCTGTTCACAGCTCATGCTTTCTCTTCAGCCCCAACCTGCCTTCCGGGAGGGAAGAAGTGGGGTGTCTTGGGAGGAAATACAGCTCTTGTTCTTTCTTTCCTGGGAATTCTGAACTGGAGCTCTGGCATGTATGTGGCCCCGCAGACTGGAGCCCCACACTCATGATTCACCTCCCCGCAGACACTCCTTAAAGAAGGGGGCTGGGCTTTTGTACCCTGAATCTGTCCATCACTGGCTGTGGGCCAACACCAGGTGGAGGGGGATAGTTAGTAATTTCCTGGGCGTCTTGGGATGAAGGGACTCCCACTGGCTCAGGGAAGGTTTCCACAGAGGAGCACAGCTGAGCCGTCGGCAGCCAGCATGCACGGGAGCTGGGGACAGTCACCCCTGCTTGTGAGGAGGACCCGGTGGAGCACCCAAGGCGACCCCCACAAGGAGAGAAGGTGAGAGTCCTGAGAAGCCTGAGAAGCAGCGAGTCTGTGGGTGAGGAAACGCTCTAGACAGACACAGAGTCACAAGAGACGCGGATGAACATAGGATGGAGTGAGGACAGGCTGAGCTGCCTTGGGCCTGCCTTGATGCCCTGGGCTGGGTGGCTCCGGGCAGTGCTGCTGCATTCAAGGCAGTGGGTGAGACCAAACTGGAAGGCATCATTCCCCCTTTTGCAGATGACAAAACCGTGGCTCACACAGGCTGTGACTTGCTTAAGGTCCTACAGTAAGTGATGGACTATCTTGACCCCCATTCTGTGCTCATTCCACTCAGGGGCCCCTGCCCCTACCCTGCAGGAAAAGCCTGGTGGTACCGCCAGGCAAAACTTAGCTCAGGAGGTAAATATTCTTAATTGTGGAAACCATCAGGGTAGACAAAATGAGTAGAGTCTGTACTCCGTTTCTTCCTGTGAGAAGAGCAAGCAGAAAACATCTGTTTCATGGGCTGAGTCCCTGTCTGAAGCTCAGAGGGTGGGCGGCCAAAGGCTCTCATCCAAGCTGATGAGTCTGGAGATCGGAATCTGGGGTGACCAACAATGAGCAAGGAGGAACCCCCCCAAGGGTGGGTGGGCAGGCAGTGCTGGCAGGGAGGGGGCAGCCTGGAACGGCTGAGGAAGGGCCAGTCCTGTGGGGAGCAGCCTCGGATCCCAGGGTGGGGCCAACAGCCATCCAGAACGGTTGACCTCACTCCAGATCTTCATTGCGTCTGCCCACGTGAGGGAGCGGATGCAGGGGTAACAAGGCCCTGCGGGGGTGGGGAGCCAGGCCTGCTGGAGTCACGCGCCTGGAACCCAACAGTCATGACTCACCTCCATGCGCCTCAAGCCCTGAACTTGAATTCCAGTTCTTGTCTGGCTTCTGGAAGAGCAGGCCCGTGCCAGACACCCAGTGATGCCTGAGATGCCCCGATATCAGCAGCAATAATAACATTTACCACTTACCGAGGACTGGTTATGTGCCAGG